TTTACCAAAGCATAACTCCGAATGACTAATGTATTAGTAATAGTTTACATGTCTCAAAATCTAGCAATGCTTATACTCTGGGGCGTTCTGGTCTCAATTTATGACACAGATTGTGATCAGCGGTTATACTATTTTGTTATTAGGTACTTATTTAATGGTTTGGTCTTAGAAATTTTCTTATGGGCTAAAACGAGATACCTCAAATTCTCATATTTTGATAAGGCAATTATATATGTTTTCAAATGATGTTTTGACTAAAGAGATTTTAACTGACAAGCAGATCTACCGCAAGCTAGCCACTCAGCAGAAGATTAGCCTTAAATTTCGCTCAACGCTATGACGTCACAATGTTTCCATGTGTGTTGAGTTTTTATCATATAAACAAATCGCCCGCAATTCACTTGCTTTTATCAGTATTTTTTATTAATTTGAACTCAACTTGCTTATTAATTTACTATGACGTTGCTATTTTCAGGTAGATAACACTGATGCCGAGGGTCGTTTGATTTTAGCTGATGCTCTGTATCTTGCCTGCAATCCTGCTATCTTTGGAAAAGCTTCAAATCCACTCCTCGTGATCGATGCTGCCACTTTGACTGGTGCTATTCTTTCTGCCCTTGGTGATCGATTTACTGGGTTATTTGTTAATGAACCAGCGAAACGATGGTATGCTTGTTTATCATAGGTTTCTTAAGCGAATACTAGACTAACGTATTATTCTAGGTCTTTTGATGCCATGTTTTCATTATTTAATGTCCCAAATGCTGACCTTCTGCGTGAACAGTTACCAAACGGTTTCGATTCGGGATATTTTAACTTATTGTAATATTTTTTCGGCTTAATTCTCAAGATCGTTTGTTCTATACGTCCGAAATTTATGTCCAACTTTAGCCATCAAACCAAATCATTTGATGATCTGTTCAGTTTTAAAGTTCCTCAAAGCTTAGGCCAGCTTTACTATGTACAAACGTTATAATTTATCTGGATACACATCTTATTCATTAGTCAAAATAGTTTATAACTATTTTTCCCTTAACTTACCGAAATTTCGCCTACTTTAGCTTCTTTGATACTCACCTCGAGAAGGCAGGTAAACTTAGTGGAGATCGCTTCTGGCAGCTGCCCTTGGATGGTTCTTGGCCAATGTCTGGCTCACATATTGAAGGGGGCTGTCACTTAGCCGATCTGAACAACATACTCGTTGGAAGTTATGCAAAGCACGCTGGCTCGTCCTCCGCCGCCCAGTTTCTTCAGGTAAAACTTTATATTTTAAACAAATTTCTCCATGTTTTCATTCAAATCCATATTGCCTTGTTTCCCAAAAGGTGTTATCATACAGTGTGGACTGCAGTTTCCTCCTTGCTTTGGTCTCATTAGCTTTGTCTCATTAACAATCCCACTATAAATTTGAAATAGCATACATCAATGTGGCATGGCTTGCCCTTAAAGCCACATTTTACTCGT